GCGTTGTGTTTGCAATTTCATAGTGCAGATAATAAATATACATAGAAATATTGGTTAACTCCTTATTAATAGGCCGGCAACGCACCAACAGTGCCCTGGCAGTTCTTTATTGGCTGCATTCGACACTTACCATCAGGTGAGCCGTATGCTTGCTTAACCCCTTTTCCATAAATAAAACTATTACATGCAAATCGCTTAGTTCATTATAGTTTTCGTTCATTACTCATGGGTTTTTTAAGACATAGTAAATGTCTGGTTTTTAATATTGTTAATGCTTTTAGCCTTTTGACTTCTACAGCTTCATAGGTCTCAGGGCACGCGGCCTTTTTGGCCGCAGGCTATTGACACTCTAAATGAAATTCATTGGCCTTATGATCTAATTAGTGAGCCTGCTACCGTAATTTTTTTAAGTATTATAATTTAAAAAAGACACACTTTAATAAATGATTCTGACTAGATTTTTCGTCTCAAGGTTACTATAATAGACGTTGTGCTTTTAATTTGGCGTTATGGCGGGCACGAGGCAACCGCACCCTGTCCTTCGGTCTAGTTCTAGGCCGCGCTTGACAAATGGTGGCGCGGGAATAAACGTCGACTCACAGACAACGAATGTTTTTATCAACGGCAATTTCCGATTTTCTGACTGATGAAGACATGGTAGTGAATAATTTTATACGTGGTAGAGTCACGCTGCAACTATTATGGTTGTAGCGTGACTGAGTCGACACCACCGACGAATGACTACGATATTGCAGAATACCAAAGTAAAATAGCAGCTTAATTATGCCTTGTTTCATATGGTGAGTGTAGAGAACTGGAGACTTTTAACAGGTAACGAGGAATGCCATCTAAGTCCTTATAGGTAACAACGCGTCTGAGTTTTGAATCCTAATCGAGATGCAGATGTCTATGGGCCACAGCAACCACTTATCATCAGGTGGACTGTGTGCTCGTTTGTCACCCTTATTCAATAATAAAATTTATTCCGGCCACATTTCTCTTAACACACGGCACTGTGCAGGTTAAGTTTGCAACTTTAGTGTAAAAAAAGTTAAAAGTGTTATGTTATGTTATACTATATTTATATTACAAACTTCACCGAAACATTCAAGTACCCGCATATTAATCGGTAGTACAAAATTTACGAGAACCTACTTGATACTGTTTGTTACTGGAATCATTACTGACCCTAAGAAACCCCCTCGACTGCTTCGTTGGTCTAGTGATGGTAAGCATGATTGGTGTTCATGGAGGCACAGGTTCGAATCCCGGGTCAGGCCAAAATCAGTTATTAGGTTTATCTGTCATGAAATTCTCAGTAGCAGCCCGGAATCAGGAAGTTGGCGGTGTTTTATCCCCAAACCTCGGAAACCGTGGGTCCTACGCCCAATCTCTCCATTTGACAGTCCCATTTATTAGTTGCCTTGTTTAAATGACACACAAACAATTATTTAATTATTTTACACTTGTTGCACACTGTGCAATTATTAATGGCGCATAATAGCTGCGGTTACAAGTTTGCACATTCAACTCGTACCTCCATCCAAGTAGTACAAAAAAAAGGAAGTAGATTACAGAAAAACGTCTCAAAAAAGAGAATCGTACATCATTGGTTTATGAAAGTGCGCAAGCAGCGCATACACTCGGGCATAACTCGGTCACTACAATCCTGTAATACACAGATGGCTAGTCTACGCTGAGAATGGCCGCCGTGATTGAAATTCGGTCTGGAGGACTCTAAGGAATACCCTAACGAAACATTTAAAGGTTATTGTAACATTTAACAAAAGTAATGTTAGTTTATATTAAGGCTTTTCTTTCCCAGTGGATTCTGCCTGCGTCAAGTATTTGATGAAAGTCACACAGTGTATCATAATAAATTTTGCTAAGAAATTTCCGTAGATAGGTTTACTTTAATCTATGTTACGAAGTAACAAGCTATTTCCGGATAAATTTAAATTGAGTTTTACAAAATTACTGTTAGTACGTATAGTAATATATATTATATATATAATACTTAGTACAACATTATAGGTATTAATAAAAATTACACGTTGACCCATAAATTGTTTTGAGTATTAAGTTGACAGTTAAATGACAAAAGAGAAAATATCCACCTAGTTATTACGATGCTCCCTTTCCGGTCAGAATATATGGATTTTGAAACGAAAGTAGTCTTCAAAGAACTCGAAATATAAAATAATTTCAGATTCTGTAGTCCGTATTAAGACATAATTTATAAAATAATTAAAGCGCCGACTACAGAATGTGAAATTATTTTATAATTTTTAGGTGTTTGAAGTTGGCTTTAACTTTTTTAAAAGGTCTTTTTTACCATTTTGAGTGGATTAAGAAATATAACTTAACATCGTCTAAATAGTTCCATTAAAATTTTCATCTCTTTATAGTCACTATTAGGCATGGAATTTTGTCTCCAAATTTATAATGGATATTATATACCACCCCTGGAGTGAAAACTGTTTAATAACAAAGAATAATCAAAATCGGTTCAGAATTGATGAAGATATCGCGTGATATACAAACAAAAAAACATGCACTAAATCAAGAACCTTCTCCATTTTTTGAAGTCTGCTACAATTAGTATTTAATTCCACCATAATATAGTTAATTCTTATTTTATTTTATTTTTTTATAAAATTGAAGTGAAAACGAACTTACAGCCAACCTGATCCAGTCAGCAATTACTGGTTCTCCATACCATTCAGAGCCGTGGTAGTTTTTATGGTTAGCGCTCGCTGTAAACTTCACAGTGCGCCAGCAACCCGGGTTCGATCTCCGCCGGCACCAATGAAATTGTTAATTGCAATTATAAGCGACAGTAGCCTAATGGCAGGCCGCGGATCGCAAACTCAAAAAGGTCGTGGGTTCGAATCCACTATTCGACTACTGGCGTGAACTACTCGTAACACAGGCAATTAAAGCTTACCACGAGTGGTTAAGGGGAATATTAGTAATGTTTATAGCATTGTTAATATTCTTTTAAAAAAAAATTTTTTAAGTGCTGATTTACCACGTGCTCGGCGGTGAAGGAAAACATCTTGAGGAAACCTGCATGTCTAAAAAATAAGAAAAAAAATATTTCGGAGACGTGAAGTTCACCAACACGCATTGGTGCAGCGCGGCGAACACTTTCTTGCTCTAAAACCCTCTCAGAGATGAGAGGAGGCCAGTGCCTATATACGGCCCAGCAGTGGGACTTATATAGGCTGTAGTTTTTATAACCTTCAGACCGGAATACAGTATAATGCACGTAGTGCTTTTATAGGCAGAAATAGATTAAAGGATGGTAAATACCCAGACGGACACTTAAACAGAAATGGAGTGCTACCACCTATAAATGAAATAAAGATATTTCATTTGTTTTTATCAAGAATGAAATAAAGAGTTAAACTATCAACTTCTTTATTATTTTCATAAGAAGCAAAATACCAACATAAAACATATAAAAGCAGTTCATGAACATGAAATTTAAATATAAATTTTAATAATATACAGCTAGTAGAAGTTGATATGTAATGTATGAATAAGATCTTTTAGGTTTGAAAGTGGATTATAACATCAAATAATTATATCAAGTCTAAAATATCAAAATTTAAGTATGTTTTTTTTTCAAATTAAACACACCACTGAGACAGCCACGGCACTGTCAGCTTACGGTTGCAAGCCATAATTAATGCCCGTAGCGCCATCTAGTGTTGGGCAGCAGAGTGAGGAGAGCCTTCTAGAAAATGCCGGGCTAGAACCTTCCACCTCCAGCGCCATCTAGTATCGAATAGAAGAACTAAGCTTTCTAAAAAACTTCGCACTCGAACTTTCTACACATAGTCGGTCGGGACCGGTATTTGCTGGAACATTCTAGATGTTTTCTGTGGAAAAGGTCCTATATAAAGCCGGTGAAGACCGCATCCGGGGCAGTATTGAATATGGCGATACAAGCGAAGCTGCAGAGCGAAATAAAGTGAATTAAAGTGATCAGTGTGATTAATTATTAGTGTCCTTTAAGCTTTAATCGGTGTTCGGTAATTAAAGTGTCAATTTTGGTAATTCAATCGGCAGTTTTTACTGTCACGAACCCTAAGCTCGTAACATTACTATGCCTATGCTCATGTTATGTTGTGGGGAAGTAGTGTCGATGTGCAGCAGCTACTTCTTACCCAGTAGAAGTGCGTTAGAATACTAGCCCAGATAGATAACACTACTAGCTATGAACCGTATTTCAAGAAACAAAATATTATTACCTTACCCTGTATGTATATAACATTACTATGCCTATGCTCATGTTATGTTGTGGGGAAGTAGTGTCGATGTGCAGCAGCTACTTCTTACCCAGTAGAAGTGCGTTAGAATACCAGCCCAGATAGATAACACTACTAGCTATGAACCGTATTTCAAGCAACTAAATATTATTACCTTACCCTGTGTTTGTCCACAAAAATAATAATATTTCAAGAAGATTGAAAATACACATAACATAAATACACGTAACAAAAATAAATTATACCTACCACAGTCGCGAACAAAAATGTTAAATACAAGCCCCTACTATATGGTTATAAAAGTTTATAATAAATTACTAAAGGAAATGAAAAATATATCAGAATTAACCAAATTTCAATCAACCTCAGTAAATATTTAAAACAAAACCCCTTCTACTCAGTGGAGGAGTATTTAGATAAAAAGTACACCATAATGTATTTTTATATTTATCTAGTTTCTAAGTACATTTTATAAGTTAGGTATATATTTTATGTTATAAGCAGTGTCCTCGTTAAAGCAGTGCCTGAAAATAGCGTCTAAGTTGTAAGCACATTTTTAATTTAAGACCAATTATGTACACTTGGATTGCAAATAAATGATTTGAATTTGTATTAGATTTTTTCATTCATAATTAAAAAAAAGAAAACACGGTGGTCCACGTGACTGTACTGTAAAAACAATAATAAAAAAAAAACAAATACGCGTGACGTGCAAATACAAACCGGCGTGATGCAGTGCGGTCTCGAAGGGTGCTCGCTGAAGTCGCTCCTTGGTCTCTGCCAACAAAACCAAAATAGATTAGTCAACGCTTGCCAAACTGAGCGCGACAAACAAGCCGGCCGGAGTTATGGTACATAAATTTGTGAAACTGAATGGCACAGATTAAATAATAATACGCTGTACTATTAAAGGGGCATTCGATCTTAGTCCTCAGGGGTAACTATTTTACAGAAGTAACTAATACAAATCTTATTAGAAAGAAAGAAAGAAACATTTAGCGCAACACGCTACAAACATCATTAGATAGGTACTAGGTACTTACATTTTAACATTTGTAAACACATCAATTAAAAATGGTATAACAAAATAAAATAAAATAATAATAATAAAGAAAACAATAATTTCACAGATATAACAATTTAAAAGTATGTATACTTATAGATTATAGTAAAAAATTTAAAAAAAATCGTTTTTCATGTTGTTTATATTGTTACATAGCTTTGTAGCAATCACTAATTCCCAGGGTCGTTATCATATACATTATTATATAATATTATAACGACCCCTGGAAATGAAGTGACGTCTGGATATCTGGATTCTACAACAGCGCAACCCAGCGGGTCCAACTACGCCTACGGAAAGTCCAAGCAATCTGTTGACAAAGTTTTAACGCTATCTGATGAACGGTATGGCAGCGCATAAAATACGAACTAACAGAAATAAATGTTTAATACATAAGATTATTTTTGAAGTTTTATTGAGATGTTTTATGGTCCATTTATCTTAAAATGAGTTGTTTTAACAAGTAACATAGATTCAGTACTTTAAACCTCTCAACCCCCTAGCGGTCTCATGAGATCGCGGCCATATTCCGTCAGATCCCTAGCGGTCTCATGAGGTCGCACCCACCCACAGCACTTTAACCCATAAAAACTTACATATAGAGACTACTTTTCTATGAAGAAGTTTTAATGAATATGAAATACTTTATCATCTAGTGCAATAAAAGACTGTTATCTCATGTTTATTGATAATCTACGTTCATTTCGTACGCCATTTTCGCGTGAATGTTATTGTGTTGATTTTTGGATTTTTCGAGTGTTTTATTAGTGTTATAGTGTTTTGTCACAAAAATTTTAATGAAAGTTTTTGTGTGAATATAATTTATATTTAAACGTAAATAATTTCGAGTAATATATATGCCGACATTCGCTTGGTATGTTTTTTTTAATCAAAATACAATTAAATCTTTTTGTAATGAAGTAAAACCTGACTTTTGTTCAAACCAGAGCATAGAGAATTTTGTATAGATTTTATAATGCTAAACTTCTTCATAGAAGAGTAGTCTCTAAATATAAGTTTTAATGGTTTTATGTGCTGTGGATGGGTGCAGTCGCATGCGACCGCTCGGGATAAACCGGGCGCATGCGACTGCATGGGATTTTTATGGAGCTTTAAGGGTTAAAAGCTAATCGTCAATACTAAAAGGCAAAATTGGTTAGTGTTGTATACGAAAATATTTGTATTTGTATACGAAAAATATACAAAAATATATGCTTTTTCGTGGTTTATTTATACGGCCTAAATATATTTATTATAGACGGAAATTTATTGGCCAAACTGGCAATATATTATTAAAGATATGCCAAATTAAGAATATCCTTGACTGACGACGAGCATGTATGCGTAGGTATATATATATATATATTGGTGGGGGGAGTGAAAGTTAGTCTATGCGTGCTCATATGGGTGACTGACAATGTTTATAATATGTATGATATTTTACTTTAAAGTGCGCATGTCTGTTTGGTTGTGGTCGGTCGGTCCCGACTGAAAAACAACTCCGTGGTCATTGAAGTACCACGTACAAGAACAGACACCGCGAACAAAGTCAGTGCGTCATTGCGAGGCGCGTGGTTCGAGGCACTGAGTATCTTTTTATGGCGTAGACTAAGGCTGAGATGTATAGACCGTACTTTGAGTTTGCTCAGAATTTACTCTCGAGCTAAGGCCATGTCGGTAATTATAAAACTAACTACGAAATCGTGCTGAGTGCGCGCTTAGCAAAGCCTAAGTCAATGAAATCGACAACTTACGAAAAACTCAGGATATTAACCAAAACCACCGTATTAATTTTAAATTGTTATTTTTACGTTACTCCAATTATTATTTATAACAATAAATAGGTTATATTATTAGTTTTAGGCCGTCTTCTTGTTTTAAATATAATTAATCCATTTTCTATTTACGTAATTTCAAACTTATTTCGATTTTCTTAAAATCTTTTTTCTTCTTTGTGATTTTTGCACTCTTCTCATCCATTCCAGTCCACAATCATCGATTTAGCACAAAAAAACAGCAATTTTAGCCAAAAAATTACATTAAACAGATCAGGCATTTAAAATATGAATAAAAACTTAAAATGTACACAATGTCAATAAACCAAAAGATTCACGTTTAAAACAGTAATTTGACAGCGCTTGACCGGTTGACCAAACGTTCGGTTTCTCTCTCATATTTTAAACTAAAATTAGTTAAATATAATAATAACTTATTTATGAAATAGAATTTGTTTTTTTTTTTCAATTTATAAATATTAAATTTTTTGGAATTTTATTAGCTTAACTTAATCTTAGCCCGATTCAACTATAAATTCAGAAGAAGATATGCTAAGCATATACTCAGCTAAGTTTTTCGTAAGTAAAGTCTGAGCAAAGTCAAAATACAGTCTATAGATCTCAGCCTACGTTTGCATTCGCGGGGTCTAGCTCGTGTTGCAAACAACCGAGTGTAGTCGTCTCTGTTTTCACGCAATTAATCATTGATATTGTGTTAACCTTTCAAACCCCTAGCGGTCTCATGAGACCGCGGCCATATTCCGTCAAATCCCTAGCGGTCTCATGACGTCGCGCCCACCCACAGCACTTTAACCCATAAAAACTTATATATAGAGACTACTTTTCTATGAAGAAGTTTGGCATTATATAATCAATATAAAATACTCTATCCTCTAGTGCAATAAAAAAACTGTTATCCTATGAATATTTATTTAAAATCTACGTTTATTTGACCGCTAGGACAAAGATAGAAAATTTTGTATTGATTTTATAATGTTAAACTTCTTCATAGAAAAGTAGTCTCTAAATATAAGTTTTAATGGTTTTAAGTGCTGTGGCTGGGTGCGGTCGCATGCGACTGCTCGGGACTTGTCGGGCGCATGCGACTGCCTGGGATTTTTATGGCGCTTGAAGGGTTAAAAATTGTTCGGTTCTAAATTGAGTAAAACTGTTTTAAATAATGTCAATTACATGAATTTTATCGCATTTAATTTTTATTTTTATAATACCCAACCTTTCGGGCGCCTTACAGCACCCATTATCACGGCGGAAGGTACTGAGATGTTTGTCGTCCTAATATTATAGTTAACGAAGGCCACTAACTCATCTGTACACTAAAAACTCGTATAGATGAACATCGTTACAAAAGTAACGTTGGGAATAATATACTCATCATCATCATCATCATCAGCCCCCTTTTTATAGCTCCTGAGTCCCATAGTCCTGTAAAAGCCCTTTTAAATAAAAAGTTTAGTTCGATCTACGCAAAACGAGCTTACGGTATCTTGAAGTCTTGCAGTAGTATACTTAAGTTTAGATTTAATTTTATTAATTATGGGATCCCAAGTAGATGGTAGCACCCAGCCATCTCCTTTATTAAAATTGAGTGCCATCTGCTTATTTCAATGTGTAGTAATCCTATATACAGTATTCCAATTTGCCTATTCAGTGTGTATTATTCGTGTTGACTGCCTCATCAAGAGGTTCTGGGTTCGAATCCCAGGTCGAGCTAAAATAGGTTATTGAGTTCTTATGACAAGAAATCCTCAGTAGCAGCCCGGAATCAGGAAGTTGGCGGTGTTCCACCCCCGTGCCAACACGTAAAGCTGTTGATCCTGCACCTGATCTCTCTCCGGTCATGTCGAATTACCGTCCCTCGGACTATTAGAGTTAGGGAATATGAGTGCACCTGTGCATGCGCATATACTTGGGCGCTGTCCTTCACAGGGTGAGACGAACTATGTCTCCGTCGAAACTGGCCACCGTGACCGAAATTTGGTCTGGAGTACATTGTTATTCATTATAATTATTTTGACATTAAATATTGCGAAGTTAATCGATTATTTACGTAGCCAATAATCCTTAATCTCCCTTCTTAATTAATCCACTGTTACAAATCAAGTTAAATTCACGTCTTTATCTTTTATCTTTTCTGTTAAAACGACATCAGATGAACCGGATAAATATTTGTTAAACAATGTCAAGTTATAATCACATCGTATCGAACGGATGTCCAAATGAAAACCGAAACTTTATGAAAACTGACACCAAAGAACCGGTGTAGAGCCACCTAATCCAGATGGAACCGGTAAGTAATCAGCTTCATATTCATCAATCAATTGTGGAGACAATGAAGGCTACATTTCGCATCGTATCGGGAATTGATTTATATTTGTTGTCTGTGATTTCTCGAGACGTACTTAGGTGTTGTTTAAACGAATCTAGATATAACTGGAAAAATTTAATCGGAGCTTTTTCACTATTTTAATTTTTAAATCTAAAAATGAATTTAAAAAAAATGTTTTACGCGCTTGTTAAGTTTTCGGGTACAAAAAGTTCAACATATCGTTTGATATAATATGTGTACTATATAGCTGTGCAAGAAAATATCAAATAAAGAAATTATTGAAATAATACTAGTTTTTACGGAATTTATCGCGTATATTTAATTTTTTAAATACCCGACGTTTCGAACGCTTTACAGCACTCATGGTCACGGGCAGGACTGAGATGTTCAACGTCCATATGTCATAGTTAACCGCGGTTACCATAGATTAAAATTTAACTTTTGTTCCGATCTATGCAGTATGAACTTATGGTATCTTGAAGTCTTGCAGTTGTATGCTTGGGTTGGGATTTAATTTTATTTATTATAGGATCCCAAGCAGATGGTAGCACCCAGCCATCTTCTCTATTGAAATTAGGATGTTTTTTGATTT